TCACGTAAATAATGCGGTCGGCAACATATGGCTATGATTCCATCAGAAATTTCGATGAAAATAAATAGTCATTTTGTGTCGTCATAAACGTCAACATGCGGGTTTGCATGATGAGCACGGGAGATTACTTCATAATAATATTGATTGGCATAGAGTTTTTTTCTGAGAAATTTCCCGTGAAAATTTATTCACAGGATGACTTGTGTTCTAGGCAGTGAACTTAGTGTACTTTTGAATGATGACTATTTTCCCCACTGTTAACAATGTGAGCTTATCATGAATATGTTTAATTAATACTGAGTTATTCAAATAAAGGTTCTGGTGTCTACATTGCATATTTTGTTGTGATGTTTTGTTGTACCATCATAAATGGTACATTTTGTGGAGCAGACTGCCTAATTTGATGTCATGAAATTACACACAAAATTAGAGCTCAGGTTGCACCAGCAAGCACCATTTTCAGCATGCTGTTCTTGTTTTCGGCGGACGACAGAGGGGACACCTCCCTCTCCTTCTCTCTTCCCCGTTGTGCTCGGTCACGGGAAAATGCTCTGCAGTTTCCAGACAAAGTTTACTAATACTTTTTTTTCTTGATTAGTAAATTTACTATTACCTAGCCAATTCCAGAGAGAGCCCAGGTTATGATATCTTTGTGTTACTTGGAGTTACTGCTACAAATCTTGAAATTTCACACGTGCTGGTCTGATGCATGCCATACAAAGACAGGTTTTTTTTTACATTAAACACTGTTCTATTTTTTACATTTTGTCTACTGTACACTAAAGGAACTAAGAAATGTATAATGACGTAAATAAAAGGTGTAAAATGGTTGGTTAATCTCAAAATGGACCCATTAATATCAAACTATTCATCAAACCAGACCAATTTTAATGGACCAGTTATATTATATCAACCTTTCACTGAGAGGAGTGGTTTTACATGCTTCAGAATATCCATTGTATTCATGTTCAATAACCTCAAAGGAAAGTAGTGAAATTGTTAAGACTCTATACAAAATAGTGCCAAGTCATCCTAAGGTTAAAGATCACGTCTCAAGCGTGACGGAAAACTTAGGATTTGTAGGAGTCTTCGGTATGATTATTCTGGTTACTGTTCACACACCCCCACATATGGTGGAACTCGAAATACTGTTGTAATGTTCAATCCCCACTTGTTATGCCGAGTGAGCTCTGTTGTTTCTCCAAAATCTTATCATGTGCTCTAAGGAAAACACTGCTACACGTAATAACGTGAAATTCACGAAAACGTATCAAGCAAAGTAACTTCAAATTGTCGAAATCGTAATCTTGGCACTGTTTTGATTTTACAGTCAATTTCCCACGATACTTGTATGTATGGAAGGGTTTTTCCGGGTGGGGGGGGGGCATAACCAAACATTTCATGGGGTTAATCACAAACACTATATATCCAGGAAGTAAAGAAACCGTGAAAATGTGTTTGGGCCTTAAACACAACACATTTGTATTTCCGCGGCGTGGCCATTTGTAGGGGGTAGGGGTAGTAACTGTAATGACCCTACAAATGTCTTCGCCAGTAGACCGTGGTTTCAGCACAGACATGCAAATCAATTAGACGAAAGCGTTCACTCACCGATCTAGCGCCGGTTAAAGTGTTCAGATAGTCTTGAATCTCTTCACTATCGGGCCGATCTTCGATTTCTATCACTTCCAAAGCTATTTTATATTTGTTCAGTGCGGTTTTCGCCATTTTGCAGTAAGGACAGTACGACTTGGAGAATACGACCACCTTGTTGTCTTTAATCTTCGCATCAACAAAGCTTTTGACTTCTGCGCTGGGCATATTGAAGCTTTACTTTATATATAAACGTCGGGAAAAGCAGCGGAAAGTTGTCGACCTGTTATAACCGAGAGCCTGAACGACGAATGAACTCGTGTCGAATTGCTGGGTAACCTCTCACCTCTTGATTGGGGCGCTGTGCAGATACTACTTTTGTTTTCGTGTATGATTACTTCGCCGCGAGCGGCGCTCGTAGACTCAGAATTCGAATAAAAACACTGAAATTGTAAATATCAAACTATTTTGTTCGTTTGTATTTGTTTCTTAGCTTCGGTTGTACTGCAAAAGGAACTATTTTGTTCCTTTGACCAATATACTGGTAATGATTTTGGCGTTAACGATTTAAAAAAAAAAATGAACTAGCAAAAAATTCTCACAGGAAGCCCAGGAAAGATAAATGATACTCGTAATACTACCCCCAAGCACAGTCCCTCAACATCGGCGTTCCACAGCAGCGCGCACAAAGCCCATAGAAATACGTATTACAGTGGTGCGCGTCTTAGCAACGTAGAACGTCCGTGACGTAGCTCCGCCCCCGAGGATAGGCTATCTGTTGTAGTTGCTGTGGAATATGTAAATGTTGACAATAGTATGTCCATTTTACTGCTATCACTAATGTTTCCTGGGCTCCATTGCGGTTACTTAGTAACCGTGATTCTATGGGGTTGAGATATGTTGCATTATTTAAGCATGACAGCGAAATCTAGTGCGACTTCTTTAATCATGAAAGAATAACATAACAAATAAATAGGTTTTAGAACATTCAATATGGTTTCATTTTACTAGTATGCTGTTGCCCACAAACTACAGATAACGGTCACCGAACTATTTCTTGCACCGACAAAATGAACTTCCATTAAAACTGCGATGTTTGCCAGTTAATCATTTCTTATCAGTGGCCATATGGTTAAAAGGTGTCGTCACACCTCTGAATGTCGGCTGGTAACACAATACAATAATGAAACAATTATATGCAGCTATAAGATGTGAATTTGTGGTTGTCACGAATTTTTGAAAACTCTGAGGAAATAATTTTTAACATTGACTCAAGCGATGGTAGGTAGTTGCAAAAAATGCCCATTTTGCATTTTTCAGACAGCCTTTTTTTCCAAAAAATATTTCATGCATGGCAAAGCAGCCATTTTTTAAATAAAAACGTGATAATTTGATCGCTCTCACTACCCTTTTTAACGCCAATGGCATTATCGTCGCCAAAAGATGAATATAATGCATAATGTAGACAATTTACCAGTATTACATGTCTACGCAGTTTGTACATTTCGCTAACTAGAAGTCGGTTTGAATACTGTACTCAAATCTGGTCACCACATCAAAAATACCTGGTTGGTAAAGTTGAGCGGGTCCAACAAAAGTTTGTCAAACACTTATGTTATCTCACTTCTCGCCCATTTGGATCATCACAGTATCATGATATATGCCTTCGTTTTAATTTATTGTCACTTGAGAATCGTAGAAATTTCTTTGACTCCGTCTTTTTGTATAAATGCCTCAATAATATTGTTGATTCTACTTACACTATTTATTTGAAATTACCTCTTTGTCACAGTAATCTCAGAAAATATTCGTTTATCCCTCGTTGTCTTGACTTTTTAAATTGTAATTATATTGCTGGTCCAGTAGACATTTTTACGAGTCTATCCTCTTTTAAGACATCTGTTTTAAATGCCATAAGTTGAGCTTTGGGTCATTCTTTTTATTTTTATTTTTGTAAATATTTTTTTTATTTGTATTTTATGAGTGCCTGTAATTGGGGAAAGCTTTTGGTATCTCAAATAAATAAATAAATAAATAAATAAATAAATAAATAAATGTTGACTAATTTTGGGAACCGCCTTGCAACGAAGAGCGCCGCTTCTGGCGAAACTATTCGTAAAAACAAAAGTACCTAAACAACGCCCCCAATCAAGGCGCGAGAGGTTATGGAGGTCATATTTAGATTACCTGATTACCAGCTGGAATATCACAAATAAACGGACTGCATGAACAGGAAGTAAGAAGAAGAAGGTGGATGCTCTGTTTGCGTTAGCGTGAGGAAAGCAGTGGTTGTGCAGGATCGTGCGGTCTTTAAGAATGTGTTCATTAATTTCTCTTTCGTTACGAAGGTTAGCCTTACCATGGAAGGCAATCTCGAGTCAAAGTGTAATACCTTTCATGTCCTCACAACGATGCAGTGCAATTCCAGCTTTTCATTACCGTAAGCCGATTATGAGTTCCTATCCCCGGCATTATTCAAACTACACCCTCGACTTGACAGAAGTCAAAAAATTTGTGGATGCGAAGATACAAGAACACAAAGTTGTCGTGTTTTCCAAGTCTTACTGTCCTTACTGTACAATGGCGAAAACAACACTGGACAAATACCCAATATCCATGGAAGTAATAGAAATAGAAGATAGGCCCGATGCTGAAGAGATTCAAGATCACCTGAACGCTTTAACTGGCGGAAGATCGGTAAGTTTAAACCACGAGGTTATACCAAATTGCTGCTACTTTGTGAATAAGATGGCTATTGCTATACAAGGTCATATGCGAAACGAAATTTGGGTCATCCGCGAGAAAAATGTTTTCTTGGTTTACCCTGACTGAGAAATAAATACTCACTATTGTTTTAAAGTTTAAAGAAAAAACACAGAAAAAAAAAACGCTTTTGAAACTCCAGAGAATTAAACAGTGTGATGGGAATTACATTGTTAAAAATAGAAATAAGAAGTCAACGACCCAGTCGTAAGTATATGGCAGTTTGCAGCAAGCTGTATACGTGACCTCCCATGGGATATGGGTTTCAGGCGACGTATATACAATATGTTGTAAACATTGTTTACATGAAATTTAAACGATCTCTGCATGATGTAAACTATCAGATTATGGTGTATATCAAAGTTTTCTATGTGATTCCATGTATGTTTGACGACCTTTGGACCCAGCATGACTTGGCACTCTTTGTAATTAAGTCGCAAAATGTGCAATAATATTCAGTGTTATCTTTACATACCGGTATATATGCAATATTTTCCAGAATAACTATCATCACAATTTTCAAAACAATATTTATAGATAATATATGTAATTTTGTATGTCTTCTACAGTTTCTACAAAATATAATGAGCACAGTTGACATCGTGAGTAAGAGCTAGCCACTACCACAAAGTGTTTGCTTTTTAAAGGGTGTTGTCACGCTGAGTCTTGTTCGATCTGGGACTCATAGCAACATACACAACGCATGTGAAATACATTAGAACACATGCCGAGCGACTACCACCGCCCTTTAATTTTTTGATACAATTTAAACAATATACAATCAATGTCCTAATTGTTTTCCAGGTGCCTCGTGTTTTCATCAATGGTAAATACATCGGAGGAGGGTCTGAGACAACTCAGTTCGACAGACAGGGAAAACTGGAATTAATGCTGAAAGAAGCAGGGGCTTTGTAGTTTGCAAGAAAAACCAGGAGATATTCTTGTAACATTCCATGAAACATGATATTGTCTTATTTATCTATATTTATATTATCTGGGTCTTCCAACCCACTGACTAGATATTTCTTACTTCCAAACTGTGAGTCACAAATAGAGACAGCTTATTTGCTCTAAAAGTGTATCTTTAACAGAAAATTATCAAGACTGAAGTTGGGTTTTGACATACATGAAACTATAACTATATTTGTTAATGTTAATTATTTAGATACAGTAACAGCCAGCAAAGCATATTTCCCTCTCTGGGAGATAATTACCAAGTAGCAAGGAAGGAACACACACGTTTTTGTTTTCTGTAAAGGAACACACACGTTTTTGTTTTCTGTAAAGGAACACACACGTTTTTGTTTTCTGCAAAGGAACACACACGTTTTTGTTTTCTGCAAAGGAACACACACGTTTTTGTTTTCTGCAAAGAAACACACACGTTTTTGTTTTCTGCAAAATTCACATTTTAGTTACAAATAATTAGTACTATTATTATACATTTGTCACTGTAACGCCATAAGTTACAGCATGCCGTAATTTTGTGGTTTCTTACAGGGTATTTTCATACTCCTTCTGTACTGTCTTTGTGCATACTATGAGGTATTCTCGTAATAACCTCATATTATTAAATGATATTGAGATTCTTTTTAAATTAAAATTTTACTTTTTAATTATTTATGTATAACCTTACAAATTATGCAAAGCATTCATTAAAGGATCATTTTTTGAGTAGAGCTCTGAAATTTTAACAGTGTGAATTAAAGGCTGTTTGGGTATAACACTGAGAACACAGGATAGTGACATAGTACCGTACCACTTGGGTGGAGACTGGCTATGCGTACGCCACATTGGGTCGTACTTGTGAGCTTTCAAATATGACCTCACGAATACGACCTAATTTACATATTACCCATATTGCATATGGCGGTTGAATCAGTCACAGTATCGACCGTTACATCGTGAGTCATTGAATAGTAGCACCACAAACCACGGGTCATTCGATAAACAAACGCTTGCGGCCCGAGTCCATGTCGCGAGCTCAGTTTAGATTTACAAAATACCAAATATATTGATACTCATGGCCCCGGCATCGTTTACTTATACCACACGTCATTGAACAATACGTCACTTCCTGAGTCCTATTCGTGAGGTCATATCAGTGAGGTTCTATTCGTGAGGTATATAGTGCGCGCATACATCAATTAATTGGATGAGAAGTCAGGTACCACTGCCACCACCTCCCAAGGTCAAGGCCAAGAGAGAGTAATTAGTAGTGGTTTATGGAATCCACATCACAGCACCATTTGACCTCAGATCCTTGCCAATTTGTTTCACTGCTGGATACTTCATATAAGTGGGAACATCGTTACCATTTTTATGATGCTACTTCAGATGGAAAGAGCAATACCAAACCATTTGATTCAGTGCCTTTTTTCATCAAAAGAGACTGTTTGACTTCAGGTAGTAACATGGTGGTACATCAATTTGTCTGATGTCCAAGTTCAACAAATTAATGATAGTGCACATCTTCTAGAGACCACTGTCATATACATTGGAGATTGCCACATTAGAAGTCAATTTCACTGCTGAAGACAATGTTACTCAGAATTTGGTTGCCCAAAGTGCTAAGGTTCTTTTAGCAAAGTGTGATTCAGTTATTAAGAATTGTTTTTATGGAGAAAATGTGTTTATTAAACAAGAGTGTGTGTACCTCAGATCTTGTGACTGGATGGGGCAGAATTCATTTGGACCGCCAAAGCCTTCATCTTGGGCAGCTGTTTCCAGCAACATTCTACAGAATCACGGATATCAGGCACAGAAATGCTGTTACAATGACCTTGTAAACCAAAAACAGCTAAATATGAACAACCACCATCTCATTCACAGGATCAGAGAATCTGCAACCGTTTGTCGTCTCGTGGGGCGATGGCTAAGGAAATAACATTGAACATGAACATGATTGTGGCAGTGTATGTGGTCAAGGTCATGGTCTGCACTGGATGACAACTTACCACCCCAAACATTTTGAAGGATAGATACACATGCTTTCAGGTGGCATGAATTTCCTGATATGTGTTGTTTCAAGCGTCCTGGCTAACTATTACAAATGTAGTCGAACATGGTGAAAAAGGCAAGTTTGCCAGACAGCCCCTATTGGCTACCTCATCAGGCTCAGTGGCTTGAACCCAACCAAAGTAGGTGTGATACTGCAGCAGGTGGTAGAGTTGCTGTCAAAGACACGGCACAGAAGGGGTGATGTAGAGGTTTAGCTGGATACTAGTTGACTGAATCAGTAAATTCCAGCAAATCACTTGAAGATTGCCACTCCTACAGAGGTACACTGATCCATACATCACGGGAGTACCTAGTATCACATGACTCAAAGACTCGTATTTGCATGTGCTGTTCAGGCTCAATGTAGCACCATACGCTTTCACAAAACTATTGGCACTGCCAGTCATGTGGCTGCATCATGGGTTGATAAAGGTGGAACTGTATCTCAATGACTGGTTGATCAATGGGATGAGGTATTTTAAATACAGGTCCTCCATTTCTTGTGTTGCATTGTAAATGTAAATAAGTTGTTTTCTGTCCCGTCCTAGAAATTCATATTTCTCAGAAGTCAGAGCTGTAGCAGTCTCACAGTGCAACTCAGACAACTGATGAGCTTTGGGGGAATGACTTCATTCGTGAGAGGCCTGGTATCGCAAATGACCAGTACAACTGTTATCACTCCAATCCCCATCGTGTGGGCCACCAATGGAAACCTATCTTTCATGAACCCTGCAACTTCTAGTTGTCCTCAAGTAATGGTCAGACAGAGATCATAGATAGATCATTCGCCAGCTGCCATAACAGTGGTCATGTCACCTCAAAAGTAGGATGGGGAGCCACCTCATGGACAAAAAAAATGTGGGGGTGGCCTTATAGGAAACTAAGGTGCACATAAATATACTGGAGATATTAGCCATCAGGAGAGAATTAGCTTGATTTCTGTCCGAGGTACAGGGCAAGACATTTTTAGTTCATTGCAACAACACAACACAACTGTAGTGACATATGTAACAAAGAGGGGGTGGATGGGGGGGGGGTTCTCCCACACTAAGCTAACTGGTAAAGGAGGTGTTGCTCTGATATAGCAAGAAAGGAATAGAGCTAATAATCCATCACCTGTCAGGGAGCAGTGTGGTCAAAACAACATCCAGAAGATGCACATACCTTGAGTGACAGATCACCCAGGACCAAGCATTTTCGAATCTTGAACATATATGCATTCCCACTAATTCGTGCTGTACTGGGAAAAGTACTAGCAACATTGAATGTCTTTTGAATGAAGATGGACATCGAGATCATGGTTTCCACTCCAACTGTCATTGGTAGTAGCAAGGCCAGTACGCCTGCCAGATGACCCACCACTTCTTGGGTAAGACCATGGGGTTCTCCCCATGAGTCTGGTGTTGTTCTAATTGCAAGCTTGGAGGCTCTCCAGCAATTGGCAGCCAAGAGAGGACTTTCTGGCTGATTGTCTAACAATATCACCAGATCCAAAACATGGGTTTTATTTTGGCTCAGCCTGTTGTGAAAAAGCCATTTTCCCAGCTTTCGAGACACTCTCACCTATAGAAATCCGTTTTCTAGTTTTGTTCAACTCGATACTAACTAGTTTATGCTCCACTGCATCATATACATAGATTCTGAGAGAGACTGCTCCAACTCAACATTCCTGTAAGTCTTTTTTGTTGTCTTCATTCAGATATTACCTTTTAGTATTATCACGTTATGGAAGGTCTCTGATGTCCCAAACCTCCAGCCAATCACACATCTCTTGCATATGCTTTGCTCTGCATATATGTATACCCAATACTTCACATTGGAAAGATATAACTGAACATAGTAAAATAGATAAATTTCCCCCAGCGGATAATTTGGAATTTTACATAATGAAATCATACTTACCTTACTGCCGTCCTCTCCCATCACTACAATTCCCTGTAGATTCATCAGTGATGTGAAAAATTAAATGGTAAATGGTGATCGATTTCATTGGCACTGATGGGCACTCATTTTGCGACCTTGGGTTATCTTCGGACAGTTTGCCCACATGTTATATCTATTGCTTTACATTGGATTTTCGTAAGGTAAGTATGACTTCACTATGGTAAAACTACAAATTATATTTTACTACGTTCAGCCATAGTTTGATCTTGTTCGTAATTTGGAAATAGAACATCTCTTTTTTTCTGGAAACTGGTGTTGAAATAAGCCCCCCCCCCCAGGATTAGTTCAAAACATGTTTTGACTATTTTAAAGGCATCACACAATTTTAGTCTATCTAGAAATTGCATTCAAACTGCTTCAAAGCCTGTTTTGACAAGATGAATACTACTTGAGGAAAACGGAAAGCTTCTATACCACCTTTCAGGTAGTTTATTATACCATAGATGTTGCCTAATGGTCGAAAATTTTAAAAATTTATTTCATGTTTCTTGATATAAATATTCTGTCTAAAATTTTTGTATACATGTATAAAACTGTTTTGTTAAATAGATTGTGTGATGAGGCCAGATTAAAGAACGTTTGAGAATAACTTCTTTCATGTGGGGAATTGTTTCTAACGCGACTCTTTGGGTACACCATATTCATGCACGAATACTACAGGCACAACAAAAAAGTTGAGGTGAGCGACGCCTTGAAAGTAGGTTGGGCTCACCTCATAATCAAGAGGGTGCTAGTTCAGTTTATGGACCCCCAGTACTAAGCTAGCGGGTGGAGATGTTGCTCTGGTGATGATACATGAAATATCAACCAGACCCCTAGCATATATGAGGGACACAATGCTGATGTAATGGGCGAACTTTGACGTGTATGCGTTTCCACAATCCCCATTGAGTCACGTAGTACTAGAAAAAGTAGGACAACGTCATAATGATAGTGGTGATCTTGAATTACACTTCTGTGACTTCTGCTGATACGCCCAGAGGTGTTCAGCAATTAAGAGAAGGTTTTCCTGCTGAATGTCCAACAACATTGCCAGGTACCATCAGGAATCTACTCCGCACTTATACAAATACAAGAGGGACAGTTCCGATATTGGTGTGTGTGTTTATGTGAGGGGAGGCCCACTGTACGTCTGAATCACAGAATAGTGTTTAACTCGTTGATTAAAGCGTGATAGTCGTCGCGCCGCGCATGTTCGAGCTTGGAAACGTCTCAGTTCGTACTCGTTCATCTGCGCAACAGTCAAAGTCGCCATCTTTGTTTATATGAGACCCATATATCTCGCACATGCGCAGCGCGACGACAACCGCGCTTTAAGTTGTGATTTAAGTTGTGTCCATGTTGGTGTCCATGTTGTGTCAATACATTATATGTAGTATATTACTGTATGTTCC